GAAAACAACTTTTCGGAAACATGTTGTAATATGCCTGTATTAAATATATGTTTGGAAATTTGGAGAATTCAGAAAAAATAGTATCTAACGTAAGAAGTCTTGATAGGATATAGATAGTGAGGAAAAACGTATGACCAATTATTTCTGTAAATTAAAGTAAATTGAAATTTTTAAAATTGTTTTAAGATTTAAAATTGAAAAATGTATAATACATCAAATTGCCTGTCTGGAATTATTTGAAAAACTATTTTATCGTACGTATGTGGGACAGGACGTGAAAAAATTAAGTCCGTTGAAATTATTTCAGGTACCGTAATGTTTAAAACTTGAAAAAATATAGTAATACTCATTAATTAGTAGATTGATATATAGATAGGAAATATATAGATGGTATAAGTAATATATATATATATATATATATATATATGGTATATTACCTATACCGTCTATATATTTCCTATCTATATATCAATCTACTAATTAATGAGTATTACTATAATTTTTCAAGTTTTAAATATTTTAAATATATATATATATATATATATATATATATATATATATATATATATAACCTAGTTGTATCCATTTTATATTAAAAAAAAATAAAAAAATAAACGTATAGAGGTATTTTTGCTTAAAGATTTTATTAATAAAAATAATATAATATATAGTTTTTCGAATATTTAGTAACACTCCCAAAAGTTTAGCTTTATAATTTTTCACCCAATTTCTTTTTTTATCTGAATTTATATAAACATTTATTGCCAGGAGGCAAGCTGAAATTGTACACCTCTCCCCCCCCCTTCCAACGTGAGAAATATTCAACAAGTGCTAATATGGTTTTTTAGATAGGGTATTACTAGGCATAAGTCAATAGAAATAATTATTGTCATTTTATGACCTCAGTTGCTAAGATTATATATACAACCATAGTAAAAATTAAATGAATACTATAATTTAGGAAATACCAAGATTTGATTGAAAAAAAAGGAAAGCAATTAATTCCTATTTAATCTATCTACCCTTCAGAAAAAAAAAGTGAAGGAAGGGGAGATATTTTATTTTTATGAAGAGATCAAGGAACAAATGAAAGCTTTCCTAAGACCTTTAGTGGGTCCCGATTGAAAAGGAATTATTTACATTCTTTACAAAAACAAACAGAATCGCCCAAGAAATGCTTAAAGGTGAAAAAATAATAAAACTTAAAATAACGATTGTGTTTGATTATGGGTTTTTAATAATGATAAGCTATGATTCTGGAATGTATGAAAATATTGCTTTACTTAATAATATTAGTTTAAGTAATATTTTTATATATATATATATATATATATACATTTGTAAGTAGAGTATGTACACTACCGGGCAAAAGTTTAGACTCACCTTTAGATTTTGTAAAATAAATAAATAAATAAACAGAATATTTCTCACTTCTTCTTAGGTGAATACTATTTATTTTCAAGTTTATTTATTATTAGCCATATTTACACCAATTTTTAAAAAAAATTGTCAACTTAATGACTACTCATCACAATGACGACGTTTCGGCTCGTCGAGTCATTTTCAAGTAAAAAAAAAATTTCCAAATCGAATTAAAAAAAATTTAGTTCAATCGAAAAAATCAAAATTTGAAATAAATTAGCTAATATTACTTAAAATAGATCCACATATAATATTGGGAAACATTATATGTATATTATACGTATATTATATAATATGTATATTGTATATATGTATATTATATGTATATTATTATATGTATAACACTATATATGTTTATAATAAATAGTATTCCCCTACTCCTATAAGAATAACCAGTCACTGAATAGAAATGAGATGGATGACATGTGGGTGACTCATGAACAAGGTAATTTTAATTTATTTGAATCATTTAATAGGAAAGAATGGAGTAATAATAATGTTGTAAAATAATTAAAAGTGAACATGACAATAATAAGGAATTTTATTATGAGTAGACGCATGCAATTCGCATAAGTAAAAAGGACAGGTACATGGTGGGTATTTTAGGTATATAATAAGAATCTTTATAATTTGAAATATGTTAAAGTTATTATATGATTGTAAATGAAAATTTTTTTTAGACTTGAAAATGGCTCGACGAGCCGAAACGTCGTCATTGTGATGAGTAGTCATTAAGTTGACTACATTTTTTAAAAATTGGTGTAAATATGGCTAATAATAAATTAACTTGAAAATAAATAAATAAATTACAAAATATGTATGCCTCAAATAATAAATCAAATCAGCTTAATTATGATAAATACAAGTACTATTATTACATTACAAAGATAATTTTATTTATAAATTATGAATATCGTCCAATTTTTTATTGTTCGAAATATCTCCCTTTTGCTTATTGGGAACATCGCAAAGTAATTCTTGCAAAGTTCGAGTTGAGAATAATTTTTTTTTGTGATTGTTGCATTGCTTTTGTGGTTGTTATATCTTCCGAACGTTTCCCTCGAGCTCATCCCACAACAGTTCAAAGGAGTTGTGATCAAGGGAATGAGGTAGCCACCTCATGTATTTAGGTAATTTTTGCTGTTCTTTTGTTTCGATGAAGTTTCTACAAGATTCGAAAGAATGTTTCGGAACATAATCCTGCTGGAAAACGAATCCTTGACCCACAATTCTCTGCCCACATGAAAAACATTATACTGGAAAATTCCGTGATATTGATTTTTATCAATAATTTCCTCTCTTCTAACGACATCTTCAATTTTACCGCCGACATAAATGACCCGCCACCATGTTTTACAGTTGGTATTATCCATTGATTTGTCAGGAATTCACCAACCATATGGCGAGCATATTGCCTACGTTTACTTCCAAAAAGTTTAAAAGTTTGATTTGTCAGTGAACAACACTTTCAGCCACTATTATACCAAGCAATTTCCATGTTTTTGGCCCATTGTAATGACTTGTTTGTTTTCTTAATTGGGGTTTTCTAGCAGCTACATTGCCTTTTAAACCTTAATCACGAAGTTGACGTTGCACACTACTGATGGACACTGGCTTTTGTCTATCGCATTCGCTTTTCCGAGCATTTCAGAGTACTCTGGCACTTACTTCAATTTCAATTAATTTCGTTTATCTCTGGATTAAATTTTTAAGAGATTTAAAATGTTTGTAAACCATTAGTTTGATTTCAAAAAACCTAACTCTAACTTTATTGTGTCTTCGTCAACCCTTAAAAGCTTTGCTATTGGAGGTGTAAGTCCTTAAATATTTAGATTCGATACTTAAAAAGAACAATCCTGTAAAATGTGGCTGACTGTAAGTGTATTATTGCAGTGTCGTGGTGGCTGCTTGCTAATGAGATGTGGATGGGTAAGATTGGTGTGACCTATTCTCAGTCTGGTTCAGACAACTTCTTCTCTGCGGTTATAAAGATTTGATGTTGACCATGGCTTTATACTTTTTTTAATTTCTTTTAATTTGCTGGGAGTACTCTCATTCCATATAGATTGCCAGCTACGAGTTATTTCTTTTTTGTGGGGAAGACTTATATCTTGCGGCATTAGGATGGCAGCGCCACTGCCCGGAAGGGTAAACACTCACTTGTACCCATGTTTTGATGTTACTCTACTTCTTTCAGATCGTTGGCGGCTGTTATTTCGCCCGGTTTCTTTCTTTCTCTTCAACGTCCTTATCACAGTAGCCTGAGAAACCTTAGTCTTAGATGAAATTTGGTTAGTCTAATTGCCATTTCCTATGTAATGAAATAATGATGGCAAGTGTTGTAAGATTCACTTCTGGTTTTCAATCCATATTACTATAATAAATCCTATTACAAAATTGTTAATATTGAACGGCTATTTTAAATAAAAAATTTAAATTCATTTCTTTAAATTGTGTTATGTTCATAAGCCTACTTTAGTATGAATATCAAAAACTAAATGGTAAATATAGTAAACATAATGAAATTTTTATTAGTTATTAGTTCACCTGGTCAATAAAAAAATAAAGACATCCTGAAGGAATACTAAGCAGTTTTAAGTTGAAAGAGAATTAGTAGGATGTTTAATTTTAATATGCTATCTCTTGAGTTAGAATTATTTTATTAATCTTTAAGCTTGTGAATTGAATACGAGCGAATCTAAACTTATGGCCGGTACTCTATGTATGTATGTATAAATATACATATTTATGGAGAGATAGTAGCCATTTCGTTGGATGTTAACTAAAAAAAAAAAAAAAAACGAAATATTTTTTTTTAAGATTTTTTTTTTTTTTTTAAATCTTTTTATTGAGAAATAATACATTCTGCCACATTTAAGGGCACTGAGTACTAAAGCTGAGTGAGGCTCATTCATACTATATATACAATGCAATAAAAAAAAATAAATAAAAAAATATATATCTATATAACAAAGGTGAAAACTATAAAACTAAAGAAATGTAACTTGAATTCAAATTAAAAAAAAAAAAAATAATAATAAGTAAAACAAATAGATATATAAAAAGAAAAACATTGATACTTAATATATAAAAAAGAAAAACATTCATACTTAGTATTTTTTTTTTTTTTAAGATAACATTGATATTCAGACATGATAATAAATTATATTATTTAATTCTTATATTATATTTAAATTAAGATAAGCAAAACTTCATTAAAGCATGAGTTAAGTAAGTTGAACAAGATAACTATTTACAAACAACTGGCTCTATAAGCCAATTTCTGGGATATTTACATTAACTTTAGCTTAACTTGTTGTAACATTAGAATATTTATATTTTTAAAACTATTATTATAAACTTTCACACTGTTTTATTTATCTATTCAAAAGATTATAAAATAAAATATCATTGGCTCCAAAATATGGGCTTCAATGATGAACAGGGCAAAATTGGCTTAAATAATCAAGAAATCTGCAATATACTAGCCTTCAACTTCCAAACTGAAAGAAAGCGCTTTAAAGTCTCAGAAACAACAACGCATGAAGACAAGACTCAATATCACTTAAAATGCTGAAATGGAAAGAACCAGAAATCCTAGACAACCGATACCGAATCTTCCAGCAAATATGGGAGACAGAAGAAGTGGAATGAAGAAACTACAGGGGCGTGTCGTCGCTCCCAGTCATACTGAAAGAAGAATATTACGGATAATCATAGGCCCAATCCAGATCGAAGACGGCTGGAAACTTTGGAGCAACGCTGAAATTTACAAAAATGCCGAGAATCACGGATGCCATGAGGACAAGGAGGTTATCACTTCTATAAAATGAGCAATACTATCTTAAAGGATATTCGATTTTCTATAGAACAAGAACAAGAACGTTATGGATCAAGGAGATTCGTAAAGATCTACAGATGTCCAACATCCAGGAGGTTCAGATGTTGAACAGAAATACTTTTAGGGCCATGATTCAAAGTTTGGAGAAAAGAGCCTGTACAAATGGAGAGAAGCATGGGTACAGCGCACAGTGGGCGAAGTAAGGGGAAACTCACATCTAATACATTAATGAATAGCTGCGTAAGATTTGTTATTGGTGGCCCGAGGTACTCCCATGTCTCTCACCACTACACTGAGTTAAGGTGGCTCTTCCCCTCCTTCCGAAGACAATATTTTCTAGGTACGTTCCTCTACCAAATCATCAACAGCCATCGTCCTTCTTACGCCTACAACCTTCTCCAGTTCAAATCCTCAGTCCATTCCCTGTCCACAAGATCTCGATCTTCTGACCTTTACATGCCTTCTCACAGATCTGCCTCATTCCAAAATTCCTTTATTGTTCGCTCTGTCGATTTCTGGAATTCCCTCCCTATCAAAATTCGACGTTCCCCCTCCATATCCACATTCAAATCCCTCCTATTCCAATTCCTATCACAAAAACAGTCAGATACTTGCTAACCATTCGAGCGAATTTTAATAGAGAATTTGATACATTTTTATTTTTTAATTCTTTATTTTTTTCGGAAAAGTGTATACTGGTCTATAAGAGCAAATAGCTTTAAGTGTCTTGTCATAGTATTAATGGTTTTGTATATAGTTTAGTTTGTTTTGTATATAGAATTTTTACCTTATATATTTTTTACATTATTTCTTTTTTTCGATTGATTTTATTTTGGCCAGATGTAATATTTTAATTTTGTTCTATTTTGTTATTCTCAAGGGAATGTGTCTCAGAATAAAGTTATTTTTCTATCTAGCTATCTAAAACTATCTAAATCTATTTTTTTTTTTAGAACTTAAATACTAGATAAACTGTTTTATTGATACCTTTTGGAGTTCGTGGATTTTCCGAAATGTTTTAAGTTGGCAGAATATACATTGTTCACTGTTTTTATTGAATAGTTCAATTAAAAAAATAAAAGTAGATTTAGCCGATGTCGGCAGAGAATTGTTTTGCATTGTATACAATGCCAATTAATGCTATTGTATTCAAGACTTTTATAAAAAAAAAAAAAACAAAAAAAAAAACATGCACTAATTATATTTTCCTTGATATACCTGTATTTTGAAAACGGCTTGTCGGATATGGTCCGAACGTGTAGAAAGATTCATGATTAGTGAAAAAAAAAAATTGTCCAATATCAATTTTATCAAACCCCATTTTCTACTTGCGCATGCGCAAGCACAAGCTTATTTTATTTGGGAAAAAGCCAAAATTGGGGAAAAGTTTATAATTAATTTAAAAACTGGTATCAATTTTATTAAATTTCACACAATACTTTCACTTATAATTATGGATAATAGTTGGCTGTAAAAAATATTTGGAGAGAAGTTGATTAGGGTTTTCAAGTAAAAATATATAATTCTAATTTATAATAAAATAAGCAAATAGCTTGAAAAGAGACATTGTGAATGGAACAATCCAAACTATTTTAGTAGCATTATTTGTGGAATAACCGTGTATTCACTAAGTTTTGAGGGATATCGAAGTTTTATACACATTCGAGCTTTTTTTTTTTTTTTTGCGTGTTTGATAATTTCCTGTTTATTTTTAAATTTAATTTTATTAATGCATGTTTGTATTTCAAGTATACGTTTTTTTCTGTATACCTGCTAATCAGCTTTATTATATAACTTTCCTTCCTCGTTTTCTTCAGTATGTATATGGATAGCTTAATGAGGTGTCAAAAGTGTGATTTCCTTTTCTCTCTTTCTGCATACATGCGATCTTGTTTTTTTCTTTCCTGATGATGCGTGAATTGACGAAACCTTTTTAAAAAATTGTATTGCAAGTTATCTATAGCTATAATTATTATTATATTTTTTTGTGTTTATACGTGCGTTTGCCGATTCGAAACTGAAGGTGGGGGACAAGTTCAACCCCCTCTAGGTTTATATATTTTTTTTTTCAAATATTTAGAAATTTTCTGGTTGTGTCTAAGAGAACTTCTTAGCCCCTCAGAGCACATTAAGAGCCAATCCCACCGTTGATTTTAAAAACAGGCTATTTTTAGATATTTGATATAATTTACTTTTCAAATGGTAAAATTCTTCTATTTCAATCGCCAATTCCTGATATTTTGGTAGGTCTCGCCTAAATTGTTTATTGTCTTTCGGAATCGCGACATCAGTTACCTTAAGGCTCTCCTTGTTCAATAATCTGTAATGATGTTTTTGGGTCCATTGCGACGTACTGTATTATTATACATTATTGTTATTATAATTTATAATTATTATTCTTATAATTTATCTCCGGAAACTTCCATTTGTATGCAGATGTATTTTCCTTGGACACGCATTTGTTGAGCCACGTTCAAATGTATGCATATGGAATTTAAAGGATCTAGTCTTCTTTTCTTGGTTTTAGGATTGGTCCATGTTATGCTAATTATCATATTGGGGATTTAACTTTAAATTGTTTGAACTCCATTGCCTTGACAAATACAATCCGTCAAAAAGGTTCTGACATTTAGTTGCAAGTAGTGCAGATCAAACATTGTTATACCATTCATGGGCTTCCATCATTCAACTAATAGTTTTATAAATATAATATTTCATATTTTTTGTTTATTTAATGGAATTTGCAACGGTATACAAATAAAACCCGTAAATATGCACCAATTAGAAATAATGACATGAACACTCTTGAAGAGGTACTGCCCAGTGGTAGCACTCCCTAAATAATTCTAGGTAAGAAGATGACGGGGCCATATCCTTTTTATAATTAACAGTTAGCAAACATGTGTCATCGGCGTAAGTGGTGATGACAGTGTCAGGATGGATTGGGATGTCAGCTGTATAAACTGTGTAGAGGATGGGACCGAGGATACTACCTTGTGGAAGCCTGCAGATTGAGCAAAGAGGGTTGAGAAGACATTATTTTGGTTTACTTTGAAGTATCTATCAGCAAGATAGGAACGGATAATGAGGAAGTATGTAGTGGGTAGGAATTTACGGAGTTTGTACAGAAGTCCAGGGTGCCAGACTCTATCAAACGCCTGTTCAATGTCGAAAAAGACTCCCGTGCAGTACATTCCACGCTCCAATGCAGAGGAGACTACATCAACCACACGATGGCATTGTTGGATAGTATATTTCATCTTTAAATTTTTAATTCTGCACAGACATCCTGCTGATATCGAAATTTATTTTTGGATAAAATAGAATTTTAAAAAATAATAAATAATTAGTTGTAACGTGATCTAGTTATTATTTATTTATAGCTATATAGGCCAACTACGGACCACGCGTATACCATTTCTAGGTTTTTTTTTCTTTTTTGCTCATATCCTATCTCTCTCCTTCCCTCTGTCCATTTCTTACTTTATTGTTTTTTCTTCGCTAAAATAACCTTTATGTTTTTTCACTATTTTCCCGAATTCTTCCTCGTATTGGTAATCTTCCTCTTTGATATCCATTTTTTTACTCCTTCTTTTATTTGTTCCGTATATCGTTTGATATATATATATATATATATATATATATTATATATATATATATATTGTATTATCTGTTTTTTTTTTTACGGAAACAGATGGAAAGTTATTTAATTGTTATATTAATCCTTACATAAAGAAATTGAAGTGTTATCAGAAATAATAATTATTTATAATAATTTTTGAAATATTTTTTTCACGACATGTACTTACATTTAGTAGCTTAAATACATGCTTCATAATTTAAAAATATTTATACATATTTTTTATTTTTGTTTTCGGTTATTTGGTTTTACTATCTTTCGTCTTATTATTTTCTATATTTCATTTTGTTTTTATTCCATTTGACAAAAACATCGCTGAAGAAAAGGATACTTAAACTCTAGGAGCATGTGTAAGAGAATGAATCGGAATAGGTTAAATATACTGATATTCGATAAAGTGGTTAGACTGAAGAACATAATCCAGTTATATAAGGAATAGGTTTTCTTTTTTCATTTCTTTTTTTTTTCTATTCTAAAGAAATAAATATCTAGGCGACTCATTTTCAACAACTTTTTTTTTTATCTGTAATTTAGAAAAAAAGTGATTCCCCTTTTGATTTTCGGAAATATTTTATACTTATTTGTAATGTAATATCGATCGCGTTAAATACATTTCAGTAGGTGTTGGTATTGGCTCCCTTTTATGTATAGATAATTGTAATATAACGTTCCTCCTTTAAATTAATAATAAAACTATTAATTGCCAAGGACGGAAATATCCTCTTCCAAAAACATTTCTTCAGCAGAGATGAATGAAACAAGAGAAACGTTCCAATCACACGCCCGTTAAGGAACTAACACCGTATCTTAGATCCGATTGGCCAACGCTTCCGTGAAGCGAAATAATTACGTCATTAAGGACGAATCGGTTGGGAGTGGCAAATTGAAATCCCAGTTCCCAGATGGAAGAAGTGCTATGGGAAAGGCCGATACAGCGAGGATATATTGGAATTCTCTCTGTGTAACAAGAACACTAGTCACACATCCCCCCGTCCCAAATTAAAATGCTCCTCCACTCTTCTAGCCTTTTTCTCCTTTACCTTCTGCCATTATTGGAACCATATAGACGTGTAAGAACAGTCCTTTATGACAGACTATTTCTCTTCTTCTCAAAATCTCTCTAAAAAAATTCAAGCGAATAAAAACGTACAGATACATAACGAATACAAGCATCAGCATTGTAAAATCATATGTGGAAAGTACCACCCCAACACTCTCCTCCAAAATAATAAATGAATACAATTCCGGCATTTATTAAAATAAAACAAGGAAATATGTAATAGTGTAATTATATGAAAACACTTCTACAAAAACTACCCGTTGGTAGTAAGACAGGGCTGTCTAGAGTTGCC